CTGTTCATCTCACTAACATTCAGGAAAGGGTTGGTCCCAGCAGTGAATTACCCACTGCTACCACATTTGTCCTCCGAGATGGGTGACAGGACATCAGCCCAGACACAGATTATATTTCACTGAATTGAAATTCAGTAGGGTTTTGGGACTTTAAAGGTCAGACAATTTTTTAGGGATGAATACTCCAAAATAATGAAGATGAATATTAAACCACTTAGAAAAGAATGGATGTTTAAGAGCTATATAATTATTGCTATTCAGAAGCATGAGCACAGATGCAGCAGTGGGTATTGCAACCTGAAATAATTCCAAAGGACTACATTATTTCCAGTATAACTGGGAAAAGTGTTGCCATGTCATTAATCAACAGGGAAATATCTGCATCACGGCAGATGACAGCAGCATGTTGACGTCCTCCTTATCTCACACATTTTTTACTGTCTGGTACCCAGGGAGGACCTCTTTTAGGAACCTGTTTGAAAAGCATTATCCAATGGCTTGTGTCAGTGCTGAACCTGTCCATCTCAGGTCTTGTGTGTAAAGGATAATTTATGGAAGAAAATTACTGGAAGAAGTGGTAACTTGAAGGCAGCCTGCAATTCAGATGTTAAAGGGTTTTCCCATTGTCCTTGGTTATCTCCGCCAGGTGGGAACTGAAGGGTGGGAAAATGGAGGGTGCCCTCACCTGCCTCTGTGCAATCACTGACATCCAAGAGCTCTCACCCTGGACCCCAAAGCCTGTGGTAATGCAGGTGAATCTGCAGCTGCATGTTGTGACTCCTCCAAGGAAGGCACCTTCTTGGGTGTTTGCAGCATCCTTGTGCTGTTGGGAAGGTCTTTGCTGCCTCTCCTAAAACGTGCTGTCGCAGCCTGAACAGTATTAGCCAAGCTGGGAAGCTTTTTGATCCTGTGAGCCATCACCTCAGTGCCCCTGAAGGGAGCTTGCCCGTTGCTGGAGTTTCTGGTGTCATCTCTCCTGGGCAGTATGGATTTATCATGGGTACAGAGGCACAGGGACATGTTCTGCTCCAGCAGACTAATGGGGAGTTGCAGCTTTTCATGTGCTCCTTATGGAGGCTCTAACTCAGCTTCCTAACTTCAGGAGCCATCTGGAAAAGCAGACACCAGAGTGGAGCTGTCAGCAGGATGGGAAGAGATGGCGCAGCCTGGGCAGCACCAGTGGGGCATGGGGATCTGTGACTGGACCACCTGCTCCTGCCAGCTCTGCACCGATAACCAATGCTTCATCATGAACACCTCCAGTGCCAAACCAGTGCACAGAGAGGTGGTGTTATTCACAGGCAGCAGCTGCAGTTAACATGGTGACTTGTGCCTTGAGCATGGTGCCTTGAGATAGTCCCACACTGAAGCAGATGCACAGGGACATGGTCACACACCACGACACACGGCAACTGCACATCCTGTAAAATGCACTCTCCAAATGGGTAAGGGCAGGAGGATACTTATCAGTGTTGCAGTGATGAGGTCTTGGCAAGTTCTTTGGCTATTTGCTTTCCACACACACGCTGAACAGACAACAGCCAGTGGCACTGGACATGTGAACAAAACACAGTGTTTCAGATTTCCGTGAAAGTGGCTCTGGAAATCTCATAGGGCAGCAGCAGGAAGCTGGCTTGCTGTGCATACAGCTCTGGCAGAGTCCATCTCCCTGCCCAGATGGAAACATCCCAAAGGAGCTGACTCCTTGCTGCCCCAGGACCTCGCTGTCCCAGGGTAGATGGACAACCTGGAAGTGCAGCCTGGAAGTGCTTCAGTAGTCTTATAGTTTCCAGGAGATTAAAAGCAAACAAAAAAAACCCTAAACCAACCAACTAAACAAAAAAAATACCAAGACAAAACAAGCAAAAAAGAGCAAGTTGTTAGCTGTGTCTATTAAACTTGGTGTTGTTTAAACCTAAGGATGCACCTCAGCACCAGTCCCTGAGCATTAAACATGGAAAATTGAGATTCAAATTCCCACTGCAGATCTAGTCAAGTCTGGGTTGCCTGCTTCCCAGGAACTGATGCTCCACAGGCTGCTCTAGGGTTCAATTTGTCTCTGAACAGAAATTTTTTCTTCAATTAATGTTTCCCCTACTGTATACAAAAAAGAAAACAAACCAAGAAACAACAAAACCAGAACAAGACCATGATAAATCTGTGTATTTCTGTGAAAGCGAGGTTTACTCGGAAAACTCCCAACTAGCTCTCCCTATTGCATTGCAGGACTGCAAGAGCCAAGTGCACACTGGAGTAAGGGGTGCCAGCAGGGTGTAATGTCTGGGTCTTTCTAGCTGAAATGCCCTGGAATAGCACTAAGATGTGACCCATCACACCACCACTGCTTGGGAGCCAGAGCAGCCAGGAGGCTGCAAGGTCAGAGGGTACTGCATCCCTATTTCCTGGACCACTGATGAGCCACCAGCTCCTCAGTGTCTACAAGCATGTTTTCCTGACCCTTTCTAACCTATGAAGAAAAACACTTTCCAGTGTTAACCCGTTCACTTACTTTGGTGAGTACCAGTGGTGAGACATTGACCATGGAGCTGTGTCAGGCCTGTGGAGTCACTTGTAGAAAGAGCATTCAAAACAACACAGCGTCTGCCTGTACAGCAGCCCACCTGCATCCCCAGCAAGGCAGAGGGTGCTTAATGCTTGGAGGTGTCAGCTGTTGCAGCACTCACCAGGACCTAAGAAAACACTGTTTGTGGGACAGTACATCCTTCAGCTTTACGAACCAAGGTGATCTGCATGATTCTTCACTAAGTATTCAAGCTTGGGTCCCTGTAACGTCATCTTTGCTTCTGGACCAAAGATAACAGGTCACCTTTGCTTGTTGATATTCTCTTTATGTGGGTGAAATGCTGCTAAAGCCATTCTACGCAAAGCAGCTCCTGTTGCTGGTCCACCAACAGGATTATTCATCCCAGTATACAGCTGGCATGCTCTACTCCACAGACTTTCCAGGGTTTTTTTCCAAAATTTGATCCACGACTTCGGCACATTTTGCCCCAGTGAAAGCTGGATTTCTAACAAACATTGAGCTGACAGGTGGAACTTACCTTGACAATTAATTAAAAGAATGTAGAAAGGAATCGGCAAGGGAAAAGCAGCTCTGCTATGTGCATGAAAGCTTGAAATTGGAGCCACAGAATGAGGGTAATAACATGATATTAATGTGAAATGAAATCCTGAGAGCTGATATGGTCTATGCAGTGAGTTTGGAACTTGTGGGTTTAATAAGGGTTTCAGCAGCTGCACAGCCTAATGCGGGATGTCAAAAGGAAGCAGCAGCCCCTCAATTCTTCTCATAACTCACACTTCTGAGTCACAGACTCACTCTGCCTGTCTGTTTCACCAGTGTTAAGTGGCATCTGCTTGCAGTAAGAAAGGTCAATTGTCCTGTAACTGCACCAGGGAAGTCACTTCAGTCTGCAGTAAAAGAGGTCATGAGCTTGCGGACTCAATTTCCATTAAAAGCTTTATTGAAAATTAGTTTATTTTGGGCTCATCCTCTTCCAGAATCCAAACCCCAACTACACTATACAGTAGGAAAGTAAAGAGCAAGATGTGCTGTTACTATAATCCACATCAAATGTGCAGCGCCAGAAAGACCCTTTCCCATACTTTGTGAGAATAAGAGCCATGAGTCCAGCTCCTTATCAAAATAGATATTTTTACCCCTTGAAGTCTCCATTGGCCATGACATTCTTGTGCACTGGATAAAACAGGGACCACTCATTCCCATAGTCTGTGGAACCAGACCTGCACCAAGTTTTCTGCACATGCAAAAGCTCTTGGGTGCCTGGCCCACTGGTGAGCTCAGGGTGCTTGTTGCCAATGCCTTGAGTGAATCCTGCTGCTCGCTCTGCAGCCAACAAAGGAGAAAGTGTAAGAGAAAACCCAAGGGTGAGGCTACTGGCTTAGCTCAGAGACTCCTCCCATGGGCTGCCTTGACCTGGGGAGATTCTGGTGTCTCTGCTGGTATGGGAAATCATGCTCAGACAGCTGCCCAGTCTGAGGTCCATCGCCTGCACACTGTGGCAGAAGCACCAGTGGCACCAGGTCCCCCCATGGGGAGCAACTGGGCCAGGGGAGCCACGTCAGGCAGCTCCATCTCCTGCCCTTCGCACAGCCAGCATGAAGCCAGTCCCACCAACAATAAATGTTTATACTGGCTGTAATCTGTTCCTGAGAAGTTGTATTAAAGCTGGTCGATTCACTGTGGGTTTCATGGAAGCTATAATTAGATCTGTAAGCCATATGGGATTCTTGACAGAGAAAAGAAAAAAAACAAAAAAAATCCCTGGTCTTGTTTGAGAAGCAAGGCATGACAGGGAGACCTGCAATCACGCTGCATTGGCAGCATGGCCAAAGGGGTTGGTACAGCCACATTGGGGGTGCAGCCCCAGCTGTCCCCTGCCCAGCTTTCCCGTGTTAGGGCTGGCGTTGCACAAGAGCTTGTGGCACGCTGTGTTCCATGTTTGGCCTGTTTCACGCCACTCCTGGCACCCAGTGCTCCAGGAGGCCATGGTGCCATACCCCACGTTCCCCACCTGGCCTGGAGAGGGGCAGCCTGGCTGCAAGAGAGGGGGTTTTGTGGGGCCAGCAGCCCCCCAGCTATCCCAACCACAGGCAGTGGCAGATGGGGTGCTCCCTTCCTGCACCAAGCTGTCACCCAGAACCATAGGTCAAAGCGGGGTGGCACTCCTGCAGCACCAGTGCCTGACGCAGTCGGTTACCCTGGGCAGGCAGCACTTGTGGCTGCAGACTGTGGCCAGCACAGATTAGTGCTGCTCATTCAGCAGAGCAGAGCCCCCACACTGTACGGATGCAGGTACTCCACTGCTGCAGTGCCCAGCCTGACCCCACTCAGCAATGCTGGGCATGCAGAACACAGGCAGCACAGGGCCCTTTTGTGCAGAGAAGCAGCACTGTGTACGGACGGGCATGCCTGCTGCCAGGCAGAACCCTCCAGATCAACCAACATGCCCATGACATCATAGTAAAACATTTATTTGTTCAGGTGATATAAGCTACCATGTTTACAGTTTGTGAACTCACCATTGGAGACATTTAACATGACTCGGGACTGCAGCTGTTGCCACCAGATTTTTCATTGTAATTTTTAAGTTTTATAAAAACCTTGGACACCAGAAAAAAAGGTATTTAGACTTAATGTGGCAGATGGAGATGGGCAATCTGTGAAAGGGGGAAGACAGTTTATCGGACGCAGCCAACCTCGACGGCCTCTTGGCTTTGGCTGCAGCTTCAAGTAAAGGTTTCGGTAGGGTGAGTGTGGTGCAGCACATTAATCTTCAGTGAGTTGGAATCGTATTGTTTTCTGCCGAGTAAGAACATCGGTTGCAACGTTTTCAGGGAGCAGAGGAGGGCAGGCATCCTGCGGATCAGCCCCGGCTTCTGTGCAAAGAGACAAAACAGAGACAGTGAGGGAACAAGGAGCAGGATCCGGCCTTTTGCTGCAGCCGAAGCTGACCTGCCATAGGGATGCACTCAGCGGGGCCAGCCTGATCACGGCACTGCATCAACAGCTAGGCAGGGAACAGGCAGCAGAGCCTGCCCTCAGCCCTGCACCCACTCCTTGGGTGCCAGCAGCACTGTGGGACTAGGGCACAGCAGGCAGAGCATGGCAGCTAACAAGAGAAAGGGTTAATGGCAGCTGGCAACCCCAGCCCAGCTCAGCCAGCCATCACCAGCTTCCACACCAGCTGGATGTGCTGGTGCTGCTGCTAAGGGGAAAACCAAACTAACAAAAAATCTTCCCAAACCCCCAAACGGAATCAGTAAAGCTCATTGTTCCAGAATCAAGAGAAATTTATGGTTTCTATATTTGCTTCCACCTTCATTGAGGCCAAGCTTTTCTCCATGGCAGGGGTTTCAACCCTGCATGGTTTCAGAGATTTGCACAGAAGTGAAAAACATCAGCATGGAGCAGTGGCTGGGCACAAATCCAGCACTTGCCTTCACGAGGTGTACATGCGAGACAAAAGATCACTGTGTTGAGAATGTGCAGATTTTTCATGGTCCTGCTCTGAGGTCCCACATCATTTGCATCAACCCATGGCACTGCGGATAGCAGGACTGCTGCAGGAAAAGCATGGTCCCACCATGCCTGGCCTTGCTCCCTGCCACCCCGGCACCACCACTTCACTTACCTTAGCGAATGCAAAACTGCAGCTGCAGTACATAAATGCAAACTAAACACCACGTTCTAAATTCATCCTTGCTTGCTGGGGGTAGCAGCTCCCAGCTGCCTACAGACCATCCGTGTGAAGCCAAGGCCAGCTCTGGTGGGGTTCCCTGTGTGACCACATCATGATGCTGTCCTCTGCCACCCCCAAAGACCCAGGACCACAGCCCTTAATGGTTTTCCTCATCTGTCCCTCCCAGTGCAAGTGTTCCCTGCAGAGAAGACTGCACGGCTGGCACACAAAACACAGCGCGCACCTCTAGAGAGGCAGTCTAGCACTCACATGTAAAACTGGCAGACCAGGAAGAAATGCAGCTCAGCCCCAAGCTAGGCACACCAACTTGGTATCTACTTCCAGATCTATGACAGGAATGCTTTCTGAAGTGCGACGCTTGAAACAACCTGAGGTGACGCAGCTTGTTCCAGAACAACAAAACCAGAAGCTTGTTCTGGTCATATTCATACAGTTGCCATTGTGGGACCTCTCAGCAGCCAGTGATGAGCCATGTTTGCTTTTTTCCCTTTTTAGTTTCCTTCCTTCCTTCCCAGCTAAGTTTCCTTCTTTGTACAGCAGCAGCCTTCACACCCAACTTTGTGAATAGATCAATTATATTAAAAGTCTACAGTCAGCAAGACCCATACAATTTGCCTTTTCTTGGTATTGTATTACTGATGACAGAGCACTAGTGCCTTAACCCTTCAGCCCTACTAACCTGTGCACTTTTATTCATGGACATCTGTACTGGTGTGAAAGCATGACTACAGCCCTGTTCAAACAGTAAAAGTCACCGTAGGCCATGTGTATTATTTAGAGAGCTGATTTAATCTGATACTCAATGCCTAATGCAAGGTACCTGCCCGCAGCCTGTGCAGAAAGGAAGGCAGCACTGCTGCCCATGAGGGGTGGGCCAGGGCCAGCCAGACCCTTGGTGGGTGCCTGATGCCCAAAAGGGACAATTCAGCTCTGAGGCGGACGGCAGCAGCAGGGGTGTAGCACTACAGAAGGACCCGCAGAAGGAATGGGCACCTTGTTCCTGGAAGCCCTGGCTGGCCAGAGGTGCTGCGGTGCATTAACTTACCCAGCACAGGCCAGATCTGGCAGCATAGGCTCTGACACCAAGTCCAGGCACCCCAACACACAGCAAGGCATGCAGAAACACATTTGCAAAGGGAAAATACGGAATACATGTTTTCTGTAAGCAGCACCCTTTTGACCTTGCCATGATTTGCTTCTTTTAAACCAGAACTTTGACCAATGTTAAAATTACCATGTTACCAGGGGAAAGGCACTGTGTGATTTTGTGGCTGTTGTTACTGCTGCTTTAGGAGAGCACTAGCAAACCCCTGGTTGTGAGCAGCACCCTGGAACAGGACAGTAAATGTTCCTAAGCTATTGCAGTGCTGACATGATGCCACTCTGCAAGCAGTACATTCAAGACTCTAGTTTCTCTCCATTAATAGGAAGAGAAGCAATAATAAGTGATAGCAGCTGTGGCCATTACTACTTCTGGTTCCCCCAATTACTGGGGAAGCACCATACTCCCTCTCCATGCAGGGTGCCTGCTGTAGCTCTGGGTATAGTTCCGCAGTGGCAAAAGAAGGGCTGTGCTGCACCTTCTTGAGGGCACATGCACAGCAAGCACTGGCTGTGTCAGGACTGTCAGCTGTCAGGGCTCATTCCACCGGCATGCAGTGCCAATGCCAGCATCCACCTGGCTCAGCAACCATGCTAAGAAGGTACCACGAGACGCTTTGTGCAGTCCCAAAGCAGTGACCAGGAGCAGGGCTTTCATGGTCTCCAGGAGGCAAGAGCATCCCGGTGCTGCTGGCAGTAAGGTGCCAGCCTCCAGCAGCTTTGCAGGGATAAGACAGCCTTGGCAGGCCCCCTTGGGCAGGCAGCATGCCCAGCAGCAGCCACCCCATGCGGGTTGCGAGGCCCTTCACAGCCTGGGCTGCTCGTCCCCAGGACCTGTGTCCTCTCTCCCAGGCACCGGACACATGGCTGTTGCTTTCCAGTTCACTCTTCCTTACAACAGGGTGCATGGGGAAGGCCTTCAAACACACAGGAACACACTGGCAGAAATAAAGCCACATTGGCACCCAGAGCAGAGCAGTACCATATATTCACTGTAAAGAACATGCCCAGAACACAAGCTGAAAAGCAGCACAGAAAACAACTAACACAGCAAACGTTTAACCCACCAAAGCCCTGCTTCTCCAACCAGACATTGTTTGTACCAGCCCTCTTTAACACAACACGTATGCTCTGAGAAAAGGTTTAGGAAAAGTTTTAAGAGGAAGCATGTGCCAGCAAATTTAACAAGAATAAACAAATTTCTGAAGTCGTTTCTCCTCCTCCAGTGCTTGTCCAAAAAGACACCATCTCATAGCTAAAACCTGGGTTTCTCTATTATTGAGAAGCCTCTCAAGGAGCAGACCCGCAGGTGGGTGATGCTCCAGGGGCAGGTTTGCATCTGCTGGAACAAGTCTTTGCTGCCTAAGGTGAAGCCGGAGTTGCAGCACTGGGCTAGCATCCCCTGGCACCCCAGTACTGCCCTACATGTCAGCACCCCCATGATCCACAATGGGGAACATCCTGTTGGGGTTTACTGATATCCTCCATTCTGAAGCATTAGGAAATGTTGCAGTACTCACTCCGACAAAAGACGTACAAATGTTATTCTGATCAAGGAGTTTCTCAGCACTTTTTCTGCCTCAAACTGTTGGCAACCTCTGGTTTTGCAGAACAGAAAGGACAGAGAATTTCCTCCTTCATAAGGCTTTTCCACACTCTGAATAAAATGAAACATCCTGCTGCACAGTTACTCCAGTGGAAACGGCAGATTTTACACCCAGTGCATTCCCAAGGGACACTCCTCTCTGCCAAAGAAGCGAAAGCTGCACAAGATGAACCCCCAGCTACCCAGGTCTAACCATTCCTACACTATTAGCAGAGAATTAGATCAAACGAAGGGACATATGGTCCTTCTAAGCTGCTTATACATATGCACTGTGGACAAAACACTCAGCTAATTTTCAGTTTAGAAAATTATTAGGGTAAAAAAATCAAAAATATAAAAATAAACCTCCCTAAACCACAAGAAGCTATTAATATTTTAGCACTTTCACAGAACATTAGACACATTTACGTCCAATTACGACATATAAAGCATTTTCATTGGGTGTTTTTAAAATGCACGATTAAAACAAATACCTCAGCAGAAAACCTTTGAAGCTATCTCCATACCCAAGTACTGGTGCTGTCTGCAGAGAGCAGCTTCTCACTGGGCCATGAGAGCACTTGCTTTTACCATGTTTGACAGTGCCTTTGGCATCAGACTACTGGAGGTTGGACAAATACTCACTGCCTCTGACAGTGTACTATTTTAATAGCTAGCTTCTGTGCACACAGCCTCTTGAGAAGAATGTAGTCTTCCAGAGAAATCTAGGGAGGGATTTTTTTGGGGTGGCTGAGGTTTTTTTGTTACTTTTGCAGTAAGAAGGGGGCATTCTAATTTTGAGGCTTCATTTCTTTTTTTGTCTCCGCATTTCCCAAGGGAAGTTAAAAGGGCTCTCTAAAAAAGAAACAGCCTCTTCTGTTTATGTCCTTTGCACCACTCCCACCCAGACTTCGTTTTTCCACACCAGGCAGTAAAATCACAGAGAGCAACCCACGATGGCTGAGAGGAAGAAGGGTCACCTTTCCTGCGCATCAGCCCTGAGCTTCAGGGCCTCAGAGACCAGGGGCCTGCCAGATGTCCCCAGACACAAGACATCCCCATCCACAACTGCTCTCGAGCTGGCCCTCTGCCCTGGTTAGAACCAGGGCATCTCCAGGCATCTGCTTGGGTTACATTGCCCTCAAGCGCAAGCACGCAGGGTGTAAAATGTAACTATTCTAACATTTTAATGGCCACAATGCCCCAGTCAAACCTGTTATTTGGCATTTGAGAATGCACTATGTTGCAGAGTTAAGCTGTCTCTAATTTAAACATGATGACCACATGAGTTTAATTAATATGAATGGTAGACTTTTCTTTAGAACAAGCAGAGCAGCAGAACCCCTCACACATGGGGGTTTTCAATTGCTATCACCTATTGCCAGATGTTATGTCTATCCCACAGGCACTGCAATCAGCAGGTTGAAGATGAGACCATCTTCCAGTCCCATTATGCATGGGGATTAAACAGAACTGGAATAAACCATAGAGTTTACAAGAAATATGCCCCAAAAGTCCAGGAAAGACAGAAATAACCATTATCATCCTCATCAATCACCACTGTGAGGCACTGAATGGCTACGAGCCCGTCTGCTGCAGCCCTGCCCTGCAGCTCTGGGATGACCCACCAGCCCTACTCGCTGCCCCTGCTTGGCTTCCTGTCCCACACCCCAAGATGCCAGCACTCTGCCTGGTGCCCCCCATCACATCTCCTGTCCCAGAGGAGTCCTGCGGGACTGCTGCAGTGCCCATGCCGCAGGGCTGCTCCCACACTTCCCGCAGGCTCCCATTTCCAGCGTTTCACGCCTCATGCCCCTGTGCTGATGGGAAGGAACAACCTTCACTGCACTGACTGCCAGAGCAGGAATCAGGTCTGAAAACGGAGCAGCAAACCAAGTCCCGCATGAGTTGGGCACAGCATCCCTGCTGCTGAACACAATGTGTTTTTCCAGCATTGGCACTAGGCAAAGCCATTGTGGCAGCAGGACCAGGCTCTCGGATGGGGCTGAGAAGGGTGCGCAGTGAGTGGCTGGTCACCACTGCCAGACCCAGCACCACAGGATGAGGGTGGTCTACATGTCAGGCACTCTCTTGGTGAGGTCCAGTGGCAGAGTCCTGCTGCTCCACCAGCACCCAACCCCAGCAAGCCAGACCCCAGCAGGAGGAGAGGGACCCCGGCACCCTCCTCCTGCTCCTCCTGGCCCCACAGTGGGACCCACTGAGCAGCAACCCGCAGGCCCCAGCACAGCTCTGAGGTGGCAGTTACCGTGAGGCTGGCTGGTGTACGGAGTGAATAGTTTATTTTACACAACATAACAACACAGCGTTGCTGTTCTTGTACAGCATCTGCCTAAAAACAAAGGCAACACCATTGTCACGGAAAAGAAATATACAGTCTGACCGTTTTAAAAAATATCATTTTACTGATTGATCCAGAAGTGGTTATTTGTTAGCTTGGAGGAAATTTCATTTCCTTTATAAAAGGCTTTTTCTGTGAAAACTCTCTCTTTTGTTTTCTGCTACTGCAGAACCAGGAAGCCAGTCCTAGAGTAGGGAAGGCACTGGTGCTGTTTCATGCTTCTTTTTCACCCCTTAATCTTTTTTTTTCCTTTTTTTTTTTTTTATTTTTATACTTTTAACCTCTAAATGTTGCCTTCGGTTTTGATATTAAATAAAACCAAATGAAAACTAAATAAAACCCCATGTGCACTGGGTGGCTTATACAGAACCCTGCATGAACAAGCCATTAATCAGCGAGACAGCAGTGGACTTCCAAATCCAATTCCCTGGAAGATGGAGATTCACACGTTTGGCATTTTTTCATTGAAATAAAAACTAAAATAAAAAAAGAAAAATAATAATAAAAAAAAAAGGCAGGTCACACAGTGCTTTCCAATATCCACTCAGAACTGGAGAAAGTTGCTTTTCCACTATTCACATCAGAGCTGTCCGACTGAACTAGCATCCCATTCATGGACATGCTCCTTTTGGACCGCAGTCCGCCTGCGCCCCAGGTGCTGCTGGGGCAGCGGGACTCCATCAGCTCGCCGCCCAGGGAGAGCCTGCGCTTGGCTCGGGATGCGTCAGCTGGCAAAGTGAGGAACTTACTTGGCTTTGATTGTGCTCTTTTGTACGTGGGGGCCCCTTTGACAGAGTCAGGGGGACGGCTAGCTAACTGCAGGGCAGTGGAGTTATTTCTGTTACTGTTTTGGGACTCGATACTGCTGACAGCTTCACTCTGCGACTCGCTGCTTGGCTTTGGCCCCGACTTTCGCTTCTGCTTCTGGGAGACAGAAGTGCTAGAAGTCCAGGTGGGAGGCAAAGTGGAGGTAGTAGTGGCCGAGTCCTGGCTGGAGCCAGTCTCTGGCGACTGCGTCACGCCATCGCTAGCAGCCTTGCAGCACTGGATGCCCTCTTCATGCCCAACAGCCTGCTTGGACATCGACTGCGACAGCACCCCACTGCAGCCCTGGATCTGAGCCCCGTTCGTCTGTGAGTATACGTTGCTGACCTTGGTGGCCTTCTGCTGCCCGTTGTTGTTACACACCTTGTAGCGGATCATGAGGATGATGATGAACACAAGCACAGAGGCCACAATGATCCCACCAATGATGATAATCATGGTCCCACCCAGGAACTGGGACTGCATGAAGTGGCAGCGCACATAATCCTGCTCAGTGGTGAACTGCGTGCAGCCCACCACCCTGGTGGCGGTGAGCGAGGTGATCCCGTCGTCGTAGATCGCCAGAACGCAGAGGTCATACACAGTCCCAGCAGCCAGGTTGTTGACCAGGAAGGTTTTGCTTGTGGGAGGTATCATTCTGAGGGAGAAGGAAACTAGTGTGAATGAACCCAGAAAACCCACAGGCACCTCCCTGCTGTGTGTCACGCTCCCTGGCAGCAGTGAGGACCACCAAGCAGGCCGCCAAGAGAGTGACCACGTCAAAAACAGAAAAGAAATTGCCAAGCAAAGACAGTTTTGACCAGTGTGACTGTGACACCCGGTAGCACAGAGCCCCTCCGAACTCAGCTAACACACCAGCATGGACACTTCCTGAAAATGCTACAAGGAATGCATTTCCAGACACCTTTCTCGCTGTGTTTTCATAAAGCTGAGAGTGTTATGATCCATTTAACTCATCTAAACTTCACAACCTTTCTGCCAATCACATTAGTTCAGAGGATTAGAGATCCATTTGCATTATCTAAAAATAACACTGTTCAAGATAATTTCCCTATTTGGGATGAGTCTTTCCCGCAACTCCCAGCATCTGCTCCACAGGCAGGGTGCTGCGTGGGAACCTGCTGCTCCAGTGGGGAGGCTACCTGGAGTCAGGGGCAGCACATCGGTGCTGAGCAGCCTGGTAGGGCCCAGCACAGCAGGGCTGGGGCTGCCTTACCTGTAAACAAGGGAGTCATCATAAGTACCATTGTACTGGATTTGGAACATACGTATCCCAGGTATATTCCTCTGAAAATTGAATTTCAGCAGAGCAGTAGAAGATGTTGCTTCCGCAACGACCACCTTCTTATCTTGGCTGACTTTAGTATCCCCATTGCTACTGCTCGCGTTGGAGCCTGACTTGGTGGAAGTAGAGATATCCGAGGAGCCAGGGTCAGGCTCGTGGATGTGGTTCGTGCTGTTCAGCAAGTGGGGGAGTTTGATTATGTGCAGGTCCACTGTCTGCGTGGCCTCCCCAGCTGGATTGGAAGCAATGCAGGTGAAGGAGCCTGTATCCTTCACCGTTGTTATCAGGATGTCAAGTGTCCCGTTGTCATACACTACAGACCTCGTTGCATTTGAAATCAGTTTGCCCTCAGGTGAAATCCAATGAATTGCTGGCTCAGGGTCCCCCCGGGCCTTACACCGCAATGCTGCCCGCTGGCCCTCCAGCACCCGCAGCTCATGGGTGTGCCGGGTGATGAGAGGAGGCTCACACAGGAACTCCTCCTCAGGGATTGACCAGAAGTACCGGCCAGACAAGAGCGTGGGAGAAGCACAAGTCTCCAGGTCATCCTCCCTTGAAAGACGCCTCAACCACAAAAGCTCACAGTTGCAATGCAAAGGGTTCCCACCAAAGCTCAATGCAAAAGTCGAGGGGCTGATAATTCCTGAGGTTGCTAGTACTTGAGCTCGCTGGAAGAGAGGATCAGGTGGTAGCTTCTGCAGTTTGTTAGACGTGACATCCAACCGGGTCATCTTGTGCAGGTGGGAGAAGGTCCCCTTGGGAATATGGTCAATCATGTTATGGTCTAGACTGAGAGTGTGCAAACTAACCATCTTCTCCACGGCATCCCAGGGGATGGTTTCCAGGTTGTTGTAAGACAAATCCAATTCCTCAAGAGCTAAAACATCATCAAAAGCTGTAGAAGAAATTAAAGTCAGCTGGTTGTTGTTAAGTATCAAGTGGTGAAGATTGGAGAGTCCACTGAACATGTCATTTGTGATCTTAGTCAATCGGTTGCTGTTCAGATGCAAAGCCCGCAAATTACGCAAGTCAGCAAATGCGTGAGGTGTAATAAAACTGATTGTATTCCTGGACAGCGTCAGGTCCACCAGGCTGGTCATATTGGCAAAGTCCTTCCTTTTAATGTTTGTAACAAAGTTGTCTGCCAGCCGTAACTCCACGGTCCTCCTGTCAATATTGGGAGGAACAAATAAGAGCCCTTTCTTGGCACAAAGGGTGGCAAGGTTCGGAGACAAAATCTGACAGACACAGCGCTTTGGGCAGATCTGAGCTCTCACCGCTATGCCAATGAACAGCAGAAACAAAAGCAGTTTTTCCATTGTAGATCAGGTTCAAGAGCCTGTAAGGGAGAGCAAACGTTTGTTAGTCTCTGCAAGATGAGCAAATGACATTATAAAAATCAAAAACAAACTGTCTGTGATTAAATCATGAAGCTGAGGTTCATGTAATGGTGCATCATCCTTATGTTGTTACCTGATGTCTTTATCATTCTCCATATCCTGACACAACAGCTACAATACTACATTCCAGAAGAACATTGAGAGACAGGTATCTTTGCATACACACATATATAACCACAAACATCCAGACACCTATATACAGATGGTGTCAGCAGTGTCCTCTGGGGCCCTGCTGCTAGAGCTCAGCTCTGCTGTGCAAGGTACCTCCATGCCAAGCACTCCACTTTCCGACAGAAGCTTCTGACCTCACTGCCTGGAGTTACTTTGCCATAATGCCCTTTATGTATTGAAAATGAGAGGTTATTCATGTGCACTTCACTTGCTAGGCCAAAGCTCCCAGCGGCCTCTAAATCATGGCAATTCAATGAGTTTACAGACATCTCTACCAAACAACTAAGCTCTTAACTCTATTTTCAGAATAAACTTGGAAGGAGCTAATTTTGTGTTATTCCAGACCCAAAAATGGAAATAAAACAATTAAAAAAAAAAAAAAAACAAACAAACAAAAAAAAAACCCAACTAAAAAAAAAAAACAAAACAAAAAAAAAAAACAAGAAAAGCCCCCCCATAACAACAAGGGTCTAAATAAAAATGGAACATGAGCTAATTTTAGATCATCACTGTTTTCCCTGCTCCCACAACCAGTAGCACTGAACTCTTCTCCCAGAAAACCTGACAGTTCAATTAGCCTTATCTCGTACCCTGCCAGATCCAGGATGTTCAGAGTATGGAAACAAGGAAGAAAACAACAGTGCCCACACCAGTTAAATGAAATCATCCATCATGACTGTGCCAAAAATTCGGTGAGCACAGCGGTGCTGGTTTCTGCACCACGATGCGTCAGCATCCCCCATGGCACAGGCAGGCAGGGAGAAGGCGTCTACTCCTCCATGGAACAGGAGGGCTGGAGGGAGCATAGTCCTGTGGAGGAAGGGAGACCTATGTGTCTGAGAAGAAACTTGTGCAGTCGTAAGCAACGGAGCACAGAGGGACTCACATCAGAGATGAAGCTCCCTTCAGGACTCATAAAATTATACATATACAGATAGGATTACTCAGATGTATTATCAACATAGAAATGTACTAATGAAGCTCATCTAAAATAAAATTAACTTTCACAACCATCAAGCATCTTGAATCGTCACAGATATTTAAAGACATTTAATGTCAGAACAGCAATTAGTCCAGTCCATCCATAGTCCATCACCAGTGCCACGCAAACTAAGAGGAGCTAACAAGTTGCAAAAAAGATGAGTGAAAACACTAGCCTCTAAACCCTGCTCTTTAGCACTATCTATTTATTTTTTTCCTGCTATTTCTGGGGACTGCTGGGTTTCATAACAACTGGCTTCAGTCCTTGAGTGGCCACTGGAAAAAACCCTCAAGTATTCTACAATACTCATCAACTGAGTATGCTCCTGCAGCATGGCCTACCACTACTGTAGTCCTGGGAACCATTACCATAGCCATTACCATTACTCTTACCATTAATTCTGGCAGAAAACTGTTTCGTGGGTTCAGTTTTGTCCAGCCTGTGCTAGCACTGCAGGTCAGGGTCATTCTACAGGTGAAATGGACTTGGAGGAGAACAGTGATGCTGAGATTCATGTGGAACCAGCAGCTCAGGGCATCCTCAGCATGACTGCCAGGGTCCCCAGACAGCCTTGGCGGGGGACACTATGCTCATTTAGATTTGCTAACTCAATAATGCTAATTTAGATTTGTAGCTGTGATTAAAGTAATGTGCTTGGATTCAAGTTCATCTGAAGAACTATACAAGATTAAAACCAAATCAGCAAGGTGAATTTACACTTTGGAAATACTGTTACAAGATGAAACAGAGATGTAAGGAGACGCAGACTTAAACAACAGCTGGAACGACAAGGTTATGACAAGGTTACCCACCAGTGGACGTAGGTTTTTTGGATTTCAGGAGAGCTTTTGATACAGTCTCTGACACTATTCTCTGGACAAAATGCCCAGCACATGGCAAGCACATGGCAAGCACAATGCAAGAGTCAAACACTCGGCTGAAGGGTTGGGCTTTAACGGTTGTAACAAATGGGGTGAGATCCTGCTGGTGGCCAGTCACTAGCTATGCCCCCAGGACTCAGGTTTAGGTTTAGGGCCAGTCCTGTCCAGTGTTTCTACCAGTGACCTGGACAGGGAGGTGAGCACACACCATGTAACCCTGCCAATGACACTAACCTAGGAGGAGCTCTGCAAGGGTACTTATGGAGAGGTCTTGGTGGATGAGAGCACTAGCAACCACCAGCCCTATTGATTGTAATGGGGAGATTCATCACCTGGGACCTGATCTGTCTGCCAGTATACCTCAGCCCTCTTGCATATCTGCCAGTGGCTGCTGGCACCATGATGGGCCCCTCGGCAGCCTCACCTGGGGAGGGAGGACTGACCCCATGTGATGGGGACAGGACTGTGCCAGCACCCACAGGACTTTTAAAATCCCTCCAGGTCCATCAGCTCTCTCACACTGCAGCTTGGGAAACTGCTGGGGGGGAAATGAGGAGGGCAGAAAAAAGCAGGCATGACATTTCTCTTGGACCATGTACAAGCCCTGCATGGGAGCTGGTCTCCACATTGAGCTGCCTTAACCAAAGCCAGAGGTGCCTGTGGGCTCCCACTGCTGCCCAGTGTCCAGCTGTTCCTGGTAAATAGTATCACAGTATCACAGTATCACAGTATGCTGGAGATTGGAAGGGACCTCAAAAGATCATCTAGTCCAATCCCCCTGCCAGAGCAGGAACACCTAGATAACGTTACACAGGAATGTGTCCAGGCGGGCTTTGAATGTCTCCAGGGAAGGAGACTCCACAACCTCCCTGGGCAGCCTGTTCCAGTGTTCCGTCACCCTCACTGAGAAGAAGTTTCTCCTCAAGTTTAAGTGGAACCTCTTGTGTTCCAGTTTGCGCCCATTACCCCTTGTCCTATCATTGTTTGCCACTGAGTAGAGCCTGGCTCCATCCTCGTGACACTCCCCCTTTATATATTTATAGACACTTATAAGGTCACCCCTCAGTCTCCTCTTCTCTAAACTATAAAGACCCAGCTCCCTCAGTCTTTCCTCATAAGGGAGATGCTCCACTCCCTTAATCATCTTGGTTGCCCTGCGCTGGACTCTCTCCAGCAGCTCCCTGTCCTTCTTGAACTGAGGGGCCCAGAACGGGACACAATATTCCAGATGGGGTCTCACCAGGGCAGAGTAGAGGGGAAGGAGGACCTCTCTCGACCTACTAACCACCGCCCTTCTAATACATCCCAGGATGCCATTGGCCTTCTTAGCCACAAGGGCACAGTGTTGGCTCATGGTCATCCTGTCGTCCACTAGGACCCCCAGGTCCCTCTCCCCTACACTGCTCTCTAGCAGGTCGTTCCCCAACCTATACTGGAACCTGGGGTTGTTCCTGCCCAGATGCAGGACTCTACACTTTCCCTTGTTATATTTCATCCCGTTATTCCCTGCCCAACTCTCCAGCCTGTCCAGGTCTCGCTGGATGGCAGCACAGCCTTCTGGCGTGTCAGCCACTCCTCCCAGCTTAGTGTCATCAGCAAACTTGCTGATAGTACACTCAATTCCCTCATCTAAATCATTGATGAATATATTAAATAATACCGGTCCCAGTACTGACCCTTGAGGCACTCCACTAGTTACAGGCCTCCAACTAGACTCAGCCCCATAGACTACAACTCTCTGGCTTCTCTCCTTCAGCCAGTTCGCAGTCCACCTCACTACCTGGTCATCCAGTCCACACTTCCTCAATTTAGCCGTGAGGATGCTGTGGGAGACTGTGTCAAAGGCTTTGCTGAAGTCAAGGTAGACCACATCCACCGCTCTGCCATCATCCATCCACCGTGTTATTTCCTCATAAAAGGCTAAGAGATTGGTCAAACATGATTTCCCCCTGGTGAAGCCATGTTGACTGCCCCTCATAACCCTCTTATCCTTGATATGCTTTAAGATGGCACCAAGGACAAGGTGTTCCATCACTTTCCCAGGGATGGAGGTGAGGCTGACCGGTCTATAGTTACCCGGGTCCTCCTTCTTGCCCTTTTTGAAGACCGGAGTGACATTTGCTTTCCTCCAGTCCTCAGGCACCTCTCCCGTTTCCCAGGACTTGGTAAAGATGATGGCGAGTGGTCTAGCAATGACTTCCGCCAGTTCCCTCAGCACCCGCGGGTGCATCCCATCTGCACCCATGGATTTATGGACATCCAGATTGCTCAACTGATCTCTAACCCATTCCTCATCGACTAAGGCAAACCGCTCCATTGACCTGACTTCATCTAAGGTCTCAGGGGTATAGGGCTCTTCAGGACTGCCTGCAGCAGAGTAGACAGAGACAAAGAAGGCATTTAGTAACTCTGCCATCTCTGTATCTTCTGTCACCAGGGCACCCATCCCGTTCATCAGTGGGCCTACATTGCCTCTGGTGTTAGTTTTGTCTGCCATGTACTTGAAAAAGCTCTTTTTGCTGTCCTTGACCCTTCTTGCCAGGTTTAATTCTAAGGAAGCCTTAGTCCTCCTAGCTGCCTTCCTACATCCCCTAGCAGCAGCCTTATATTCCTCCCAAGTGGCCAGCCCCTCCTTCCATGACCTGTAAACTCTCCTCTTCCACTTGAGCATACCCAGCAATTCCCTATTTAGCCACACTGGTCTCTTGGCCCTCTTCCTTGACTTCCTAGTAAATTGTTAACCAACCTTATCAGGGTTTTTTTTAAGTGTCACATAAGTTGTCATAGAATCATAGAATACTAGGTTGGAAAGGACCTCAAAAATCATTTGATCCAACCTAGGCTATATGTCCTAGCACCCTGGCCAGCTGAATCTTGAAAGTGTCCAACACTGGGGAATCCACCA